AAATTTTATCAAATAAAAAACATCAAATTCTTGATATACACACACACACAGATATATATATATATATATATATATAATATATATATGTATACATGCATAGTATGTAGAAAGGTATATGCTTATGAGCCAGCAGCACATTTAGCAAAACAATTAATTTATAAAAACAAACCTCATATTAAACTTATCAGCTTGGAGTTGTAAGATTCTTTCCAGCCCCCTGGTTTGGTTATTTCTTTTTGGATCTTGAATACAATAACAAGCAAGACTAGACTAGTTTGAGGTTGATGGTGAACCTAACTCCAGTTGGTAATTTAGCAGGTAAATGAAACATAAATTATTCTTTCAGCTTATATTATCATTGGTAAAAAGATTGCTAAAGATTTGAATTATTAGAAAAGGACCCACTTTGTACGTGGAACCAGTGGAGTTTTGATGAAGAAGAAACGGGAGAAAGAAAGAGAGACAGCCGAAGTTGGTTTTAACTGGACCAAAACGACGTCGTTTTGGTAAGAAGGAATAAAAAAAAAATTCCAAAACCAAGTGGAACGACACCGTTTTATTTAACTGCATGACATGCGGTTTTTCACTTACCGCAGAGGATCTGCTCCCGGAGGAGCAGAGCTGAGTGGTTGAAATGAAGCTGAAAATTTTTGACCTAGCTTGTGATTTGTGTAATTTAAGTGGTTTGGCCTAACGTTTAAGTCGTCATTTTAAATAATGTTTTTAACCTTTTAATTTTCTCCGTTTTTAAATATCTGTCATTTAAGGTTTTTATACAAGGATTAAGGAGGTTATTAAATAGCTCTAATATGAGTAAAAAAATAATTACACAAGACTAAAATACTCATATTCAATACGTATTGGGAAGAAAAGGAATATGAAAGACACTTAGCCTACACTTAATCTATTAGGCATTTATTGAAAAATAGAGATAAAGATAAATTTGGAATATTTATTATACTTGGGTTTCATAAAACGACAAATATTATAGAACAAAAAAATTGTGTACAACGACAGATATTTAGGAACGGAGGAAATATTTTTTTAACGTATGTTAGCGCCGTTTAAATTTTTTGTTAGAAAACGTTATTATAAATGACGACTTTAAAAATGTCATTCTTAATGACGTTTTAGGAAAAAAAAATTTATCTTTAAATCGTCATTTTAAATGATATTTTTAAAGTAGGAGACGTCATTTCAAATAATATTTTTTAAACAAAACTGAATTTAAAAATTAAGATTAAAACATGACTCGTGTGTGTGTTCTCTCTCTCTCTCTCTCTCTCTCCAGATGTCCCGATCCTTCGCCTCTCTGATTTTGTCCCAACAGCTCACACACACGCACACTTGCCAACACAAGTTAACTTTTTGCCACACCACAGCCCCACCCTGCACGTGAAGTGTTTGTTGAAATTCATGAGAGCACCTCCTCCTCAATCACTGCCCATTTTAATGTCATTTTATGGTTCCAATTATATAATTTAGGGTTTAGGGTTATGAAATTGGGGCAAATTGTATTGCTTTCAATTTTCGTTATGTAGATGAACTTGAAATCCTGCAATTGAGCAAGTGGGCAGTTGAAGACCAGTTCAAAGCTTCAAAAACTCTTCCAATCCACTTCAATTGGACCCATCCGAGGTATACCCAGAGCCTAACTCTTTCTCTGTTTCTCTCTGTATAGGTTGAAAAATAGCTGTAACCTCAAGTCTTTCACCTTTGTGCCAACTTCAATTTGCAGTATCCACACTTTTTAATGGTTTTTTTTTTTTTGTTATCAGTTTACTTAATGATTTTTGCTTTTGTTAATTTCACTTTCATTGTGTATTGAAGCCACTCGGCATATGTGAACCTGTAAGCATTTCTCTCTTTCTTCGTTTGTATTTATTTTGTTTTCACCTGAAAATTTTGGGATTTTGATGCATTACATTTCATCGGTTGATTGATTATGTGTCTTGGATGGACTGATGAGGAAATCAATAATTGTGATTGGTTTCTGTTAAAGAGATGTTCAAACAATAAAAGTGTGGATAAAGAGTGTTAATCTACGGGTGAAGGGTATATGGTGTTTGTGGTTTGGGAATTTCAGGAAGTGAGACTATGATGGTGGCGCATGTGGTGTATAGTGGTGGTTATGTTGTCTGATTTAGGTGGTTTATGGTTTGGAATTTTTGCTATTTGTTTATGAAAATAATAGGCACCGTTGGACAAATTAATACGAGAATTTGATTATTTTTGTGAACATTGGGATTTTTGAGTAGTGATATTAATTTCATGTGGTTCAATGAGTATTTGCGTTGTGGCCAGCTTATAAACAAAATAATAAAATGAAATAAAAGAAGAGAATACATTTTGAAACTCAAGTCTTGTGTTTTGTTTAATTTTTTTAATGAATTTACTTCAAGGTCAGTTTTTTGAAACTTCAAGTTTTTTTTTTTTTTTTGATACGGGTCATTTAATCTCCTTCCCATAGAATTAATTTCTTTAGATGTTCTTAAAATATTTGTTCTATGGGATTGTTAGTGACCACTTGTGGAATGTGGGGGCGAATGATGGTGAAAATGGTGACATGGAGGTGGTGAATAGCAGATGGGTGATGTGGTACTTGCTTGATGGTAATGTTATTTTGTTTTTGTTTAGCTTGTGTTCCAATATCTAATTTTAAATTAAGTTCATAAAATTGTTATTGTGTAAAACTAAATTGACTCGGTTCATATCTTACATCTTTTCTTTCCATTTGACTCGGTTCCCAATGAATAGCAGATGGTTTGTAGGTGTGAAGGGTGAATGCTATCATTTCATGAAGGAAATAAGCACAAGTCATTGGGGCTGAGGGTGATTGGTGCAATATTTTTGTTTTGCTATTTGTTTAACGTTTAATTTTGTGATCTCTAATTTAATATGCATTTGTGGTTATGCTTTTGGGGTCTTGTTTTTGGAGGAAAGTTTGTCCGAACTGTTTCGAGTTTATTGGACGCAAAAACTTATTTGGTCTCCTAAATGCATTATTTGCGCTACTTTCCTCTAATACTTAGTTTTTAATTGCTAATTTTTTTATTACATAATGCCTTCACGCACGACACATTGAATATGTTTTTATTGTCTTTATGGGGATAAAGGTTGTCGTCCAATGAAGGAAATGTTTTTCTTCTATCAAATGCATGAGTCAAGGTGAAAGTATGTAATGAAGGGAATCAATGGTTTGAACTATATTTAGTACTGAACATTCACTGTTATGAATAAATGTGAATTATGCTTACGTATGATTTTTGATATACCTTTGCGAAAGATTATGTGCCAATTATTGTCTGAATTAGAATGATGGAATACAATATGTGATATATGGTTATGTGTTGTTGATCATGGGGGATCGATTGTGACTTGTGTATGTTATGTTATATGATGTGTGCATAATGAGTTATGGGAAATAACTGTGTTTCTATACACAATTATTATATTTGCTTCGGGTTTTATAATTGTGATATATTAGAATTGGGTGAAATTCTCAGTTGTGGTATTAATCGTGGTGGTGGTTGTTATTCGTGGTATTTGAAGTACATGTGTATGGCATTGTGTATTGTGGATGTTTAAGTTTGATATAAACGACTATGTGGGTAAGTTGAACTTAATTATATTGTTGGCATTGTTAGGTTGGTTCGGTAATTGGTAAATGATTGAGCCAAAGTAGGATTGTGGTGTGATAGTGAGTTCGCTAATTAGTTTGAACCGTGTTGTTTTTATATACATATTTTTCTTTAAAAGTAAGCAATCACGTACCAATTACTAGGCTTTTGATAAATTAGGTACATAGGTTGAGATTTTTTTCGGTCTTGTTTTTAGAGAAAATTTTGTCCTTTTTGTTCTTTTGAAAAATAATGTGTCTAGATTGATTTGAAATTATATAATTAAAAATAAAAAAGGACGGGATCCAAAATTGCTATTTAGAATATCTATATTACACTAAATTTTTGAGTGCTCGATTTTTTGTGTTGCGTAGTACCGTTATTACTAGTGCTTTATAAAGGCCAATCTATTAATGAGAGAGAATTAATGAGCAAAAGGTTGTAATTTAAACTTTCGTCATTGGAAAAGAAGTAAAAAATTTTGTTTTGTTATTTTTATATTTAAATAAGGAATGTAATTGAATGAGGCCAATTCAATTATATTAGGAGTGAACCACAGAAAGAAATTGGTTAATTTTTGCCAGCAGCAGTTCAAAAAAAAAAAAAAAAAAAAATTATGGCAGCATTTTTTCAATGCATTTCACTTCAATTTCCTTGCCCATTTCAATGCATTATTCCAAAATCCTTTAATTTGCATCATAGTCTGATAATGGGAGGGCATTTTAGTCAATTCACTAGAACATGATCAAATTGATAATTATATAGAAGTGTTTATCCATTTTAGTTCACATAATTGGGATATTTACTGAAATGGAAAATTGATAATTTTTATTGTTCCAATTATTATGGCAAATTAGTAATTGAATTTGATCAAAAGCAATGGAAATTCAGCCAATTTGGTTTCCCGAACTAATAACAAGATATATAAACTTAAATATTTGGGCTTTTTAAAATAAAATGAAATAAAACTTGTAGTATTAGAAATTGTATGAAAATTCAAAATTTGATGAACATTAAAAACATGTTACCAACTACAACAGAAGTATCAATATATAACAATTATTAGTAAATACATTGAAAGGTATTCAAAAAAGATTATACATCTATTAACAATGTCACTACTCATCATGAATTTCCATACATTTATGCAAAGCATATAGTAGCACTCTAGACATTCAAGTACGGGATCATCCCTAGAAAGCGCACCACAACGACAACACGTGAACTGTTTCATTGCATTTTGAAGAAACTTGAGAGGGTGTTGGTGATCTTTAAACTCACGGCTGCCACCAAACTTGACATTTCGATATGTACGATGAATACATTGAAGATGAAAAGATTGATCACATTCTCGACAATGGTAGATCCACTCCCTGGTATTTATTTCTTCCTCGCAAATTTCACAATAGAAATCTTGGGGATGATCAAAGATAGGAGGATAGGTAAGGATGAGGGAATGTCTATCCCATCTATGCTCGACGGTTTTAGGGAGTAGAACACAATTACCGCATAGACGGAAATTGCAATCCTTACATCCGAACCCGTGATTATAAAAATAGAATCCACATGCACTGCAATATCCATAGACACCCTTGTATTGTTTCTCTGACATAGGGAGTGCTTGTGAGCTTCATGTACAATAGAGGCGGGCAGGAGAGCACATTTAACATCAATGGCGAAGGATTTACACGTGTCACACTTGTAGAAGAAACCGTTGTTGTATGACTCGCAAGCTTCGCAACCGGTGGGCCGATAGAATTCACTAAAGTTTGAGAGCTGAATCGGGTGTTGGTGAAGTGGGTGTTGTATCTCTGGTGGTAAGTTGGCACAATTTAAGTGGAGAAAATAAACGCATTGTGTACAACAATAAAATGGATGTGAAATCGGTTGTACACAGCTATCACATAATATTGTGTTATCATTGTTTGTCTCATTGTCATTTTGCACTTTGAAAAGTGTTAGCTGATGCTCATGGCTCCAATGGCTGATCATTGGTTCGTCCTCAATTTTTTCAAGGAGGAGATGTTCAACAAAACAGTTCATCGGCAAGTGTAGTACATCAAGATCGTGGTCTTTCTGATCCATAATCTCACTTTCTAGATCCCTAAAATAATATATATAAAATAAGAGTTACTTACCAATAAAAAAACATTGCTAGTATTTATGTCCCTAAAGTATACTAATTTTATCAATTTAGTCTCTAAAGTTTCAATTTATATCACTTTGGTCCCTAATCAGAGAATTCGTTAAATTTTTTGATGAAAGTGACCACGTGTCATTCTTTCAGACGGTATCACGTGATCAACACGTAATTATTCCGGCAAAAACTTAATAGTTTGTATGTGTATGGACCATTTAAACACAAATTGAGCATTTCAAAAACACAATTGACAAAATTAATATTTTAAAGACCAAACTGACAAAACGTATATACTTTATGAGCCAAAAGTACTATTAAATTATTTTTTTTTCTTTTGGGGGAGGATGAATAGACTCACCTCAAAGGTGTTGAAGATGAAGTTGATGAGCACTTCACATGAATAGAACATCTGCATCGGAAACAGTAATAAGCCCAATAAAATCGATTAATACGCTCATCACATATATAACAGTCTGTATCGAATTGGGTGAACTTATCCAACTTCTCGAGAATGAGAGGGTGATGGTGATCCGTACGGCTGATGGTGGTAGGTAACAAAGCACATCTCTTGTGAATCCAAAACTGACAAGTAACACATACATATGATGAATCTTTGTGTTCCATGCGACAAAGATTGCAAAAGAAAGAGCTTGGCCTTAGTAGGAATGCTAATGGGTGCTCGTGACTTTTATGTGTAATCATTCTGCGGTCTTCTATTAAACATGATATGCAAATTTTAAATTCGCAAGAAAACAACAGTAGCATCTTTTCTCATCATCTCCACAAAAATTACATGCGAGTCGAAAGTATAGGTGCATAGGGTGTTGGTGTATGGGGTCTGTAACTTGTCGACGGAGTTCCGCACATCTTTTGTGCAGAAAAAAATCACATTCGGAACAACTATATGCAGGGCCTAAGATCTGTTTCTCGCAGAGTCGCAGATAACTAATTTGTGGCCGCCTTCATCCATTTGTATTTCCTTGAGGCCCAATGGATGGCTATGCAAGAAATGTTTCAGTTTTTCCATCTCTAATGTGTGTTCGTAGGGGTGTGGGTGTGTGAGAGAGAGAGAGAAAGAGGCTGAGGGAAAGAGAGGTAATTAATAGGCCTAGCTCGGAAATTGTAAGAAGAAGAGATTAATATGTACACCAATTCTTCAAGCGGAGAGGCCAAACTTATATAGGTTCTATGGCCTAAATTTTGAGTAAGGTATCTAATTATGATTAAGTTATGTACTTTAGATTATGTACAAGAAGGGGTTAGGAATAAATGCATTTAAAGAAATGAATGATATGCATTTTGGAATATATACTGAGAGGGACTAGGAATAAGTACATTCAAAGAAATGGATAAGTACTTAATAATACTTGAAAAACACATAAAAAGGTTTTGTGTTGGTGAAGGAGAAAGACGGGGTATGGAATTTAATCAATTTATATTACATTTATAAGGAAGAAGATAGAAGCAATGAAAGATTGACTAAGCCAATCTTTAGCTATGCATAACGAGTTGAGATTCACTGGTTGATGGGTTAAAAAACAGAGCAAAGGAAGATTTTATTTTTTCGGTTTTTCTAGAATATTTATGTCAAAGTTATGTGTCTAAGCATTCAGCTTGCCCAATTCGGAACCAGGCATAAGTCGATGTAACTACCCCTACTACTGTTTATGATCAAAAGAGCCAAGTGTACATGAAATTTCAGTAATGATATTTGGACATGAATTTAATGTTATTATTAAAATTACTATACAACTAATTTAGTCCTATTCTCACTCTTCATTCTCTCACTTTCCCATGTCTCATACTTTGGTTTGCCTCTTTTTGCCGTTACCAATTATTCTTTCTTATGCCAGCAAGAAACTCGTCGTTACCATTCATTATTTCTTATGCCAGCAAGAAACCCGTCGTTACCATTCAAGAATTGTGCTTCATATCTTGAAATATTTTAAAATTGTCAATCAATAAAAACTCATTACTTTTTCAAAAAATTTCAATAGAATTTTATCTAAAAATAGGACTCCTAAATCATATAAATATGTGTATACAATTCATAAAATCAAATTAGTAATTAATACATATCTTTCTTTAAAGAAATACAACCCAAACCAATTACAGAAGCCACCGTGTAGAAAAAAATATATATATATTTTGACTTCCTTTCATTTAATTACACCATTTATAATTAACTTTCCACTCAAGTTATTGTTGAAACAAAAATAATTAACTCAGAAAAAAAGAAAGGAAAAAAAACTAATGGTAAATTACACAAACACCCTATAAATTGATCTAATTATAAACACACCCCCTTGATTTTTTGAAATTACACGAACACCTCTTACTGTTTAGCTATCCATTTACAAAGCGCCCCTATAGATAACACCGTTATTGGCAATGTCAAAAAAGTGATTATATCATCAACTTTTTACACTTTACTACCCATATTACTCATGAATAAAATTAGACTAACCTATTTATTTTCGTGTCGTATTCGTGTTTGTATTCATGTTTTTTTTTATAATGTGGAACCTCTCCAAGGTAGGGCCTCTTTGAATTCATCCCTACTAAAGTAAACTCCGAATACCTCTAATCGCCTGCAAAGTATAGGTATTGATTAAGCTCGAGAGACACTAACAAGAGTCAAACCCATGACGTCCGAATCTATGGTTTATCTGGGTTCAACTTCATACCGCTGGGCAACCCTTGCGTGTGTGTTCGTATTCGTATTGACCCATATAAATTTTGAATAAAAAAATTTAATGCTAAAATTTAAATATAAGATTCTATTATCACTTAATTGAACCCATACTCATATATTTTCTATAAACTAAAAATTAACCTAATAAATATAACAATAATAATAAGTAAAAATATCTTTTATATACAATAATTATATCAATGTTTAATAAATAGTAATAAATAATTAATATTTTATTTTTATAATACTAGTTAAATATGTTGATCGTGTAAATTTCAAGTTTGACGGATTAAATTCGAAAATGACACCCATTTATTAGTATTTAAATATATGAGGGGGTGATAAGTAAAAAATGATATATGATAAGAGTAATTATGAAAAAAAATGCATTTTTTTTTATATTTATTAAGGAACAAGAGGTGTTAGTGTAATTTAAAAAACTAAGGGGTGCCTTTGTAATTAAACCAATCTACAGGGTTGTCAATGGAATTTGGTTGACGATTACATATTTAACAATGCCAATAAAAAAGAATAGGCATGTCCCTCATACTAATTTCCTCAAAGAATCTCATGCCTCAATTTTCTCAAGTAGGTTATTGTAGATCAATACCAAAGGAGGGGTGCAGAAATCAATCCCAGATTTAAGGATCTTGCACTGTTTCCCCTGTTGAGCGTTTCTTATAAGCTTCCAACATTCTCATGCAACGTCTGCATAACTAAAGGAGCACCGCCTGTCTACCCTAAGCTTGGCTAAGAACTCAAAGTTTGGTTTCACTGCGTCATGAATTTGTTGGAAATAAGCTTAATTTTACTTGTTAGTACATAAGATGAATTAGTGAAAGTGGCTACTTTAGGTTCATCTTACTCCTCCAATTCGCCATTGTCAATGAACTGGTACCACCTTCCCATGGCCGCCGCAGCTTTGTAGGTGCACCAAATGGGTCATTTCCTACTCACGAACTGTGTAGAAGCTTGAGATGTTGATGTTGAGGACGATTGGTCCAGTGCTACAAACCATTTTTTCACTATGATCGGTTGGACTTAACGCCTTGGCAGCCGCAACTTTAGAATAGCTTTGGGATAAAAAAAACATACAAAAATCTATTAAATTCTATATTCTCGGATCCAACTTTATACAGCAGAGTTATAGCTCTGCTCCACCTCGGCAATATTGTGGTTTGTTTTCTATCAACTTCACAAAAGGGAGAAATCAGAGAAATCCCAGTTAAATTTGTTTGGTACACTTTTATATGAAAAAAAAAAATCAAGTAAAGAGATCAGAAATTTGTAGTGAGGCGATCGCACTTGAGCAATAAACAAACATGAGAGAGAGAGAGAGAGAGAGAGCATCTTTAAACCTCGAATCAACCCAGCCCAGACATCAACTCTACCAGCTGTAATGACATTTACTAATCGATTCTTGTACATCTACAACTGCAGAACACAAAAAGCAAAAAACAAAAAAAAAAACAATTATATACTTTTACATCATAATTGACACACAATATAATACTAAAAGAGACGAAATGAAACGGCCATCAACTGAATTCGCGGCCCGGGGGGGTTGGTGTTGCTAATTGTTGGTGAGAGAGAGATATATACCTTGAACATTGGTGGTGTCGGAGATTGGCTGTTGCGCTGGTGGTGTGGTGCTGGGATTCTTGTACATCCAAATATATCATTCGATTTTTTAACCCACGCCGGCCGATATAGCTAAAACAAAACAAAAATCACATTTTACCTTGTCCTTTGCAACAGAGGTCATGCCACACTATTATTGCTTCCATACATTTAGTTGTCACCATTTCAATCCAAACACCACATATCAGAACACTCAAAAATGCAAAAACCAACAAATACCCACAGAAACATAAAACCTTGAACCAAGGGAAACAATAATGCAAATATTTAACCAAATGACAAAGAAAATCAATAAACACCCTTACATCTAATGAGAAGAACACCGTCTTATACGTGTGTGAGCGTGTGTGCGGGTGTGTGCGTGCTGTACGTGTTTGATCTGTGGTGTGTGTGCTGGGTATGGCAATTAATCAAACAGGTGGCATGCGTGCGATGTGATTATACATGCGAGATGTGATTGTGCTGGGTGAGTGTATAGTTGAGGAGAGAGGGAGAGAAGAACACTTACCTTAGAGTTGGGGTGGCAGCAGGACTGTGGTAGTGCGCTATAGCGTTTGCAACCACCTACAGGAGGAAGAGAGAGGAGAATGGCAAGAGAGAAACAATGTTAAGGGTATAATTGTTAGGCGATATGTATCGTACGATACGTCACGATACAGAGGTAAAATGATACGAATCGGAGTATTGTATCGTTGCATAGTATGGTCCTTTACACGATACGATACGAAATTTGTATCAATGTGCACCTCAAAGATAAAAAATCTCAATTTGCACCCTCGAAGATAGAAATTTGTATCAATGTGCACCTAAAACTAAATTGATAAATTATACCTAGATCCCTTTATGCTTGTCACTTAACCATTTGAACTCTTTCACATTTAGAATATTACTCCTACATCTTATGAGGTTTGTGCACGTGTAACACGTAACCCTTTTTCGTTAATATCTGTTAGTATAACTGTTAAAAAATATGATTTTACAATAATAAAAAATTATAATTTTATATTACCCTTTATTTTATGGGTCCAATATACTCTAAAGTTCAAAATCAAGTTTACTATTTGAATGTCTAATAGAATAAAAGGTTGCACATTGAGTGATATATTGCATTGGATATAAAAAATATTATATAAATATCTACATTCTATTGGACATTCAAATGGTAAGCTTGTTTTTTAATTTTAGAATATATCAGACCCACAAAATAAAAGGTAATATGAAATTATAATTTTTTATTGGGATAAAATTATATTTTTTTTAACAGTTATATTAACTTATATCAACGAAAATGGGTTATGTGTTACACGTCCACAAACGCCATGAGATGTAGGAGTAATATTCTAAATGTGAAGGGGTCCAAATTATCAAGTGACAACACATGAGGGGATCTAGGTATAATTTATCAATTTAGTTTTAGGTACACATTAATACAAATTTCTATTTTTGAGGGTGTAAATTGAGATTTTTTATCTTTAGGGGTGCACATTGATACAAATTTCTATCTTCGAAGGTGTAAATTGAGATTTTTGATCTTTGGAGGTGCACATTGATTCTATCTTTAAGGGTGCAAATTGAGACTTTTGATCTTTAAGGGTCCAAATTGAGATTCGAACTATTTTTCGGAATGCAACTTGCAATTAACCCTTTTTATTATTATTATTATTAGAACGCACGGTAAATCAGCAAAAACAAAGATGAAGAGAAGAATTACTAGTCCACCACACCCACAAATCAGCAAAAATACCCAAGCAAAAGCAAAGCAAATAAATTTTTGAAATTGGAAAATATAGCAACACTAACCTGTAAATTTCGGATGAAATCCTAAATTGGTTTTTCTTCAAATTTTAGAAAACACTTCTTCTTCTTCTTCATCGCAGAGGTCCATTGCAATAAACCCTAACTGAAAACTCATCGAAGAAGTAGATCATCCAAGACCATTGAAGCCCCGAGACACTCTGTCTCACGACTACTGTATCTCACGATCGCTCTCGCGATCTTTCTCTCTCAGTCTCTCGATCGTTCTCACGATCTCTCTCTTTGCCTCTCGATTGCTCTCGCGATTTTTCCCTCTCTCTCGTCTTTTTTTTTTCCTGATCAAGCACTCTCGCCTCTTGGTCACTGTGTTTTAAAATAGGAAAAATTATATTTAAACCCCTTAAAGTTTGTTACTTAATCGCTTAGACCCCTAATATTTAAAATATTACACACAAACCCCTTAAAATTAATACATGTGTAATACTTTGACCCCTGCTATAAATATATCCGTTAATAAATTACATCTAGACACCCTAAAGTTGTAAATATATATTTTATTATTAATTATTTAAAATTACATTGTATTTTATGATATACGATACGATACGATACACTATTTTTAAAAAATGATACACCTTCCGATACACAATTTAACAACTATGGTTGAGGGGCTGATGTTCGAGAAAGCAGAGATTTAAGGGATTCCATTTTAAAATTTTAGAGAGACAGAAACATGAATGATTAGGGCATACACAGTGGAGTGATTTATGGAATTCCAAAATTAAAAGATTTAGACGGGATCAAATTTTTCAAGGGTTAATCTGGTGCGTTGGATTGATAATTTTGAAATAATTTAAGAAGTAAATAACTCAAAACTGTTTGGGATAACGTCGTCTATCAGATGATGCCTTTTTGGTCTCGCAACGATCTCAACCGTTCTTTGTTTATGAAATTTAAAACTTACTCTACTCTATTACATAGATATCCACATATACAAACGTGATCAAATTTAAACTAAATCAAATTCAAAAATTCTTAAAATTAGATCTTTTCTAGATTAGGACTATTTCTCTCTCATATTATATATACTAGTAATTGTCCGTGGCTGAAGGCACTATGTAACAAACAAAAAAAGTCAATTAAAAGGCATACCAATTAGAAGACCACTACAAAAGCAACATATAAAACATATAAGTGTAGATAGAAAATATATTTGAACCGAAAACCTATTCCACAAATAAAAATACTATAGAAAAATCTAATTGAATCTATAAATGTTTCAACATGCACAATTAGAAAAATTAGAACTCCTTGGTGGTGAGAGACAAAGAGAGTTCAAAGAAAAAAAATGAACACTACATTAGAAGCGTTCAATTTGACTCCATTCTACCATTAAGCCAAAGTTTTCGGCTTCAAGAAATTGTGAGTGATTCAATATTGCATTGTCAACCATTTGTCATAGTAATTAAATATTCCAATATCTACTAACAAAAAGAGTGTATAAACATCAGCTAATTCTCATGTGTATGCAAATGGCATATGCTACTTGCTAGCAGGCAAACATAGATCCACCCAAGAAAGCAAAGACTGGTCAGCATATCTATATAATAAAACAGGAGTGTGTTTGAATTTTATCTCAGTCATATTTTCTCCATCAAAACCATCATCAATCACTTACCTCACCCATCATCCCTCTGTCAGACTCAAACGTCAAATCACATCACTCATTTTTATCACATATTTAATCATTTATATATTTTCTCCCTAAAAATATCACACCACTAATTTTTATTATACATTTAATCATTTAATATTTAATTAATTTGTAGTTAATATATTTTGAAAAAATTTAATATAGTGGGATCGATTTTTTGGACGCTCGAATTTTATATTTTATCGTGTTTTCAGGCACGGATTATGACTAGTATTATAATAAACCAACATATTTTAAGCCCAAATAGGCTTATGTTCAAAACTTCCATAGTAATAAAATAGACTTCTGACCACTTACCACTAAAAAATTTAAGATAGTACAATAAACAAAATTAATACTCAAGTTGCAAATAATCTAGACCCATGTGAAATTCTCAATCTTAAACTGCAAGATGAAATTTTCTCTCAAACTTCTATGGTTCTCCATTGTCATTCTAATAAATGCATCAAATAACAATAATAAATAAATCCATCAAATAACATTGGGTTGAGGTCTTGATTCTATCCCATCATGCAATAAATCACTAACAAACCGGTACTAAAACCAACTAAATAATTTAAAAACCACCAATTGAACACCAAATTCGCCTACTTTTCTTATATCTCAAAAATCAAGTAATAACACTGTGACAATGACACCCCATTACATATATGTAGAAGAAGAAACTGAAATTTATTCGTACATTATCAATATCTAATTAAATTGCCACAACACGATTACCAAGCCAACAAACAATATCAATTATCAAATCAAATCCAAAATAATTAAGAACCATTTGAAACAAATAGAGGAGGAAACCAATGAGAGACATTATGACGACATTAATATTATTGATACATCATCACCAGGTGCCACTGCCCTGTGTCTTCAGACAACATTTTAATCATATTTGCATCCACAGTAATTGAATTAATGTTTGGTAATGAATTTTTTTTCCAAAATAGTTCTTTGCAAATAACAATTGTTTAATAAATTAATCTATTGCATTTTAACACTACTCACTAAATGAAATTATAAACCTTGAAATCAATAAAAACTAAACGCACCTCATAAAAAATTCAGAACCGCCAAGGTAATAAGCAAGAATATACACAACAAATTGAGTGGAAAACTAAAATCAGTTATTCATAAGAAGGACATGTTGGTCACATATGACAATGCGACTGAAAAAAAAATGAACTTATTAGTAAAACTTATGTGATGACAACAAAAAAAGGACAACCTGGTACGGGCAGTGGATTAGGGATTGAAAAGTGGAGAAACCAACATCGTTGGCGGTGGGGAACTACAAAGCACAACCAAAAATTCCCAACAAAATCTGCTTTAATGTATACCTATAATGAATAAAAAAACATGAGGCCAATTAAGGTGAAGATTTCCATCGAATAAGTGGCGTGTATTTATATATAGGAAATAAATATATACAAACAGACTAACCGGAGTCGTGATTTCGCCGGATAGCAAGAGACTAATCTCAGTCGTCGATTTCGCCAAATTTGGAGTCACCGGAGAAGATAGAGGGACGACAGAGAGAGAGGGAGCAAAGAAACGAGTGAGAGAGAAAAGAGGCAGGAGGGAAATACGACAACAGGAGGGAGAGAGAAATAAAAGGAGACATATGGTGTAGGATGGCTGGTACCCGCGAGGGTTTACTGGTCTTTGCACGGAGAGAGAGGGAGATTGGTGATATACCCGCGAGGCTTATTTATTCCAATACTATTGATCGGTGATACCACATCACTTTGTCACGTGGTATCATCGTTGCAATGAATATTTTCTCGCTAAAGAGAGGATTTGGCGTTAATTTAGTATTTACAAATGAAAGGTGTCTTGAATGGGAAAACAAAATTTGTCTATCAATCTAATCCGTCATATCAATATTTTTGAGTTGATCTAACCTGCAAAAAAATTTAAAAAAAACATAGACTCTTGAATATGACTTATCTTTTACTCAGAATTGATTTGTGCCACGAAAAGCTCAAGATAAATTTTGCAATTTAAATTCAGCTCTACTTTATATATATACTAAGGATAACTCGTATCTGAAGGCACGGTACAACGTAAACCAACTAATTAATTTTTAAAAAATTACTTTAATTTGCTTTAATTAAATAAATTAAAATTAATATAGTCCCTAAATATTTTTTGTGGACTATTTCGGAAAAGCTTGCTCTAAAAATAGGAGTTGAGACAATGAAAATATCAACTTGTATACATAATTGAAAAATAATAACTCGTGCCTGAAGGCACTGTACCATTTAAAAAAAATAAAAAATTGATCATGCACACAAAAAATCAGGCACCGAACATGGACACACATCTTTACCAAAAAATCAGGCACCAAATGAAATGAATGTAATTAAAATGTAAACAATATGACCTTTTTACGAATCTAAAGCAACTGAAAACTATTGCTCCTACATGAACTAACCACAACAAATGTACCAAATGAATAATCGAAAAAGTGGCGGGTCAAACATAAAATTGTATAGTACAACCATTTTCTCAAAAAAATTAAAAATAATTCATAAAAAATTTTAGTCCCAAACAACTTCAATCACACAACAAAATGACATAAACTACATATATCAACCAAAAAAAAAACACACAAAGAAACAAAAATAACTATGAATTAACTAAAATAATACTTGATTAAAATTACTCTTCTTAGCAAATCCTCCAAGCAAGGACTAAACCAAACCAAACCATCCACAACTTTCAAGAGCATATAGTACCTAAACAACAACAAAAAAAATCTACCAAAAATTCATCACAAACCATACAAAAGAAAACTCAAACAAAACATTATAAGCAATATAACTCTTCAATAGAAAATGCACCCAAGTTTGTAGGCAAATATTTTATCCAAAAAAGTTTTCCCCACAACCATTTTTACTTCAAGAAAAGATAACATAAAGTTAGAAAGAAACAAAGGGAACAAAAGTTACACTTCCAAGTTACTCCAAGCTGCAAAGTTCCGGTGGCATCTCGAACCTAAGTTTTCCCAACTCCATAGTTGTGACCAAGTACCAAGAAACCTGCTCAAGCAATTTTAGAGCAATCTTCACACTTGTGTTATTATAAATTTCCTCTTCCCCATCCTCCTAAACGAATTTAGCGCGATCTTGGATCCTTTCCTCCTAAAATTGTTTAAATAACCAAATAGTAAAATAACAAAACGTAGTAAACCAGTTCAGGTCTATGAAATTGTTTAAAAGAGAAATTACGCAACATCAATATCAAAGACTGATGGTTAAAAATATGACTACTCGATGCCATTAAATTCATATACTCATGATTAAGAAAAAGAAAAATCAATTAGTTATCGAAAAGCATAATCATAGCCAATTAGTTGAAACCGAAATACCACATGAACAAATCAAAGCATTAAAATCCAAATACTATAAAACACTATTAAATATCATAGGTACTATAATCCAAACTCACATTAAACTAAAATTCGTATTTAAACACCAAAAACAAAGTGAATGTTTTTGTTCCAAGTAGCTTGCAAAGACCAATAAATCAGCAATCCAAGTAGCTTTGCGTCGCAACCATCTTAAAAAGAAGTGATAAGAAACATACTAAAGAATATTGCAAAAAAATAGTACATTAAAATGCATACACTGGCAGTAGTCGATAAATAATTGGAGAAAAAAAATAATAATAATTGTGTTGTAAGGTGACAATTTCTCTGCCAATTCAACAAGTTCTAACTTTTAGGGCCAGCGGGCCAGTCCCAATCAAAATCTCAGCAACCCTAGTAACCAAGAAAAGCAAATTCCAAAGAATTGGCAGTAGAAGTCGAAAGAAAAAGAATAAAAAAAATTACTATAAGGAAAACACAAAGCCGTCCAACTGACTATATCCTCTTCATTTTATGCTATTATTGTAAACCCTCACACTTTTATTTTAATATATAGCAAAGTACAAAAAAAAAAATTTTTTTTTTTTTGTAATCGAACTTGTACCAACTATGTTTGATGTCCAAATGTATATTATATAAGTTTGGGTTGATTTTAGAAGGGTTTTGAATGGATTAGAAATGAAAAACAAAAGAAACAGAAAAAACTGAACCTACCGTACCAATACACCCGGAAGTTACCGTACCAGTACAACATATCGGTACGCTACTGTCTAGAGAATCAACTGTATCGGTACTGCATACCGGTACGCTCTATAAGTTCCAGAAATTTTAAGTCGCGATTTGGGGTCCACTTTTCACCCTATAAATACATAATGACGCCTTCATTAGCCCCATTTCAACACCTCAAACCCTAGAAATCCTTAGAGAATAAAAAATGAAGAGAAAAACACAAGATCAAAAAGGATTTGCGACTTGGATTGAATCAAAACCCTAGATTTCTTCAAGAACACCAAGGTAGGGGTTTCTCATATTCTCTTACATTGAGGTTAGGACTCATATATATGTATTCTTTTAACTCTAAATCTTGTATGTATGCTATGAAATCTTTAATTCTTGATATTCTTGCAATTATTACCATATTTTAAACAATACTGTGGTTGAATAACCATTAAATCTCTTTTCTTGCCATGAAACCCTAATTTTCAAGATAAATGGATTTTTCTCTTAATTGTTCCTTCGTTCTTAATTTCAAAAAAACTCCAGTACTTTGTATTAAACAACAAATGATATTTGTGATGATCTCTTACTTATTTTCTTGAATTGTGCTTTTGTAATGCACATTATGGAAATTGGGGATTTTGGATTTTATTGTGATTTGAGAAAATATTTGTGATTACATCTCTTGTATGGTTGTTGTGATACACTTGAATTGCATTCGAGCACTGTCGTAGAATGTTAGAGGTTAGTTTATCCCAGTGGGGGTGCGATGGTTTCCTAATACTTGTAGTGGTTTATTGTTTGTGAGAGCAACCACTATTGTTCACGTAAGTTCGAAGCTAAAAGATGGTATACCTTTCTTAGGAAGGATTCGTCAATGTCGTGAGAGATGGTATACGCCCTTCCTAAAATATTTGGGGATTGTGTGATTGTGGTGGATGAACGAGGTAGAATCGAAGTGCAGATTCATGGGAAGCAACCAACATACATGAGAATATGAGATGATGCTATTACATGACTAAATTGATTTCTTCACTAATTTGTTCCTTTCATTTAACTTATTGTTATGATGTAAACTTGATATCGAATTGTCCCTATTTTTCCTCAAAAGCTATGTCTATGATATTTGTAAAATGAGACAGACTGTTTTGCATGCTTTCTAAACCTGTTTGAGTTTGGGAGAATGTTACTACAAAACTTAGTGCTCACCCCCTACAAACAACATATTTTTCAGACTATGTGCTAGAAGAGGAGCTAGGAGTAGATGAACAAACACATTGGAAAGCTCCAATAAAAGGGAACGTGGAACCCGAGATGGCCGTCTAGAGTTATATCCTCTCCTATTCTAGACTAGAGAATTTATTTTGAGACTATGTAAAGTCTAACCTTTTGTAATTCCGTTGCAAGTTAAATTTGATTCTTTTTGGGATGTAATGGTCATACCCTGACATATTCTTTTGGATATAATAGTCATGGATGGCCTATTCTTTTTGGATGATATTGTTAATGTTATATTTGATGAATGAGAGGTTCTTTAATGATGGATTTATTTAGTTGCTCTCATGCGGTTAATGGTTTAGATTGTGATGCCATCCAAGGTGGCTTTGGGAGCGTTACAATTATCTTTCTTTAATACAATGGAATATGAGAACATAATTAAGTAGAGGAACATGAAGAAAGAACAAAACCATATGCTTCACATCTTTTGTCAGTATCTAGAAAACAATAGCCAAAATGACAAATTGATAACACTTCAAAAGAAATTTTCTGAACCGACACATTTACGAGGTTGATCTTTTCATTCCTTGTCATTTTTCGAAAGAGTGAGATAGGTTATAAAAAAGACAAAAGAAATCAAAATCCCATAAACACAAAGCAAAAATTTTAGGTTTGAAGCAATATTAGATTGGTTTATAAATCAAAGGCTACCACATAATTCAAAATCAAGCTCCTCAACATATCAACCAACATTCATATTGAAGTTATCAACAAAAATGCAACCTCTACTGAATAGTTACACTCTTTAGATTTTAGATAACCACTTCTTAATTACTAAAAAAAATTATGTAACTAATAAATCTGGTAAGTGGTAACACAAGTGACAAGTTACCACCAAGTTTACGAAAAAGACAACTAAATGATGGTGTGAAACAAAAAAAGTCACAAGGACACTTCTAGAATACAGAAGCTTCTAAAACTGAGCATAAGAGTGTAATTGACTGCAATAGTTGTTTTGCACATAGTAATGAAAAATTTACCTGCAATTGCCTTAGTCTGTGCAGCAACAACAGCCATAGTCGATCTTGATTCTCGCTGCTCAAGGGTCTCCCCAACACAAGCTATTACCTTCAAACCTCGATCCAGGGCATATGCAACTTGTCTCCAACAAACTGAAATGAAATTGATTTGCCAGTTATCAAAAAATGAGGAAAGGATCCGCAGTTGTGATACGTAATCAATGTTCTCATTAGAATCCTTAAAAGCAGATAGTTACTGTGTCATTCACCTAACAGAAGCCTCCTTTCAGAATGGCTGATAATGACCCAAGGAATGCTTAGATTGAGAAGCATCTCAGCACTGTGCATGCAAGAGACATTAATTTAAATTTTTTCAATGAAAAATTTTGAGCTGCACCGGACGACGACATGATTACAGATGAATTCAGGAACAAATTCTGCAATCACATGAACCAAAAGAGATACTAAAGCTGAGCTAGAAGTTGAAGAACCGACACCAAGTTAACCCATATTAAAGCAAACCAGTTGATAACCCCTCAATCAGTAAGATTCTACAGTAATAGTCAAACAAATATTCTATATGGCTAGTCCATCGCGTTTAACTAACAAACTCTTTTTCCTTGGATTGTGCTCTTATTAGCTAGTGAGGAATGTCCAAATGACTGCTACTGACATGCAATAGAAATAATAAACCAACTGGCTTTAACCCCAAGGCTGACAGTGCACCATTCACAACAATGGAACCCATATTTGATCCACTCAAACCAGAAAAAAGTCACAATTTCACATTTTCATATATTTACAGATGTGCCATACTCCCCAAGAATATCATACTGATTAGCACGTAATATAAAAGGCCGAAGCAAGCCACTCCAAAACTTCAATGTTTAGGCTTGGGCTTGAATAGAAAAGCCAAAACCCAACCTCAATTTTGCTTGGACTTAGGTCAGAGTATCGACAACCCCGAAACATTCATGGAAGGTACACTGATTTACTATTTCCATAGCACATGTTTGTTTGGATAGCTGATTAAGGGTTAACTTTATCACAATAGCAATAAAGAAGTGCAAATAAAGAATATACATGAAAAGAGTGTGCAAGCATATTGCATGAGCATATATCACTCAAGCATCATAACTAAAAACATGAAAATAAAGGGGGAGGGGTATAGAGAGAAATATGTGACTAATATTGTGTAAATTATAAGTCTAAATTTGAAGGATTAACATTTTGTATCCACAAATAATGACTATGGCAAGAATTTGATGCATGGAAAACACATTCATTTCAAGAATTAATGCATGAGATGAAAACGGGTTCTTATCCCATTTCCTTGAGCCACTCCATCAGTGTGTAAACCTCACATGAGTATCAAATCAGTGCTTTCAACAACTCATACATCAAAACTTAAGTATTACAGCATTACAGAAGATACAGAATGTATATAAATCATACCTAATCTCACCAGTAAAAGCACCACCTGGTGGGAGGCGAGCATGGTTAATTTTTGTCTAATGCAAATAACAAAAAAGTGAAAGAGACACATGATAAAACGACAATACCAGCCTCAGAAAGTCTCCATGCTTCCTGTCCTCTACTTCAATATCCCTATCAAGAATACTGCCTGCTGTAGCACTGGTGAGTGAAGAGTCAATCAGCAAATAATGACGAAATTACACAATTCATCCATCATAAGTTGCATTGGCAAGAAATATAAGGATGTAGTTATCCATATTAGCATAGTAAAAAATCTTTATCTTCAAACACTATGGTTTAAAGCTCTAAAAATTTTGAGTAAAACAGGGAATCTTAATAACATAAATTTTCAAATAGATCTATTACAAGCATTAACTAAGTGTTTCCCTGTCAAAAGCCACCTCAGCCAAAAAAAAAAAGGATCAAAAAACTCTTTGTTGAGTCTAAATTAAGGAAACAATATAATATTTCAAATCAACATTAAACTATACTATGAAGGAATGGAACCACCAACTGGTTGCGGGTAACTATGCACATCTATCATTTGCTCCCCAGAAAAGTCTTATAAACATTCTCATTATTCCTTCTATCTCCATCATCTATTCTTTTGTCTTGATTCAAAGTGGTTTTGAATTATCTTCACCAGGTAGTATCAATCTCTAAATTTGCCACCCTCATCAACAGCCTAGTTTCTAAGCTTGCTGTATGAAATAGCTCATTGCATGAAACAGGTAAACCTCTTGTCTTTCTCCTATTCAAAAACAAAAGATTCATCCAGAAAATGAAAGGTGAGACAATGTATGCTGCTCTATTGTCACTCTATCAGTCCGATAATTTGATTTAATCCAACAATACATGTAAGCGTGAAAGGTCTTCAGTTAAAGCATACTAACATGTACTAACTGACGTAACTGGCTGACTTTTTCAAGAAAAAAGATAACACATCATATGAACGACGATCCACGATCCTCCTTCAATCTGAGATGATTGATTGCATGCAAGACACTTCAAAGATACTAAAACTATTAAGACTCCCAAGGGATCACTATATTGAGAGCACAATAAAACTAAGATATGGAGAAAAATCCTAGGTGAGTGAGTGACAACCAAATTACCATGTGCAACGAAAGATTCAACAGAAATTTTGAAGCAAAAATCACAAACTTGAAAAATATAAAAGAAAGGTGTACTTAATAAACTTTGAGTGTCTATCGCCCACCTGTGACCTATTACAAATGGAATTATAATGCCCTTTTCTTCCTCAAGCTTCTTTTGTTTATCACCTAATTTTCACACCAAAAAAGACAAGTTACTTACTAAAGCAAAATCAGAATTAGCCAAATTGTAATTTGAAGAAATAAAAACAGAATACTAAGCACAAATGCAGGCAGGGAAGTTAATGAACCTTGTGGCACCCAAGTAGCACGAACAGAGTCTCTTCTCTTTTGGCTGCTAAAAGTTGTGTTAATACCAATAACCATTTGATATTTTCTTTTCTTAGTTAATTCAGGAATCATCTAAATTAAGGAAACAATATAAAATTTCAAATCAACATTAAACTTTACTATGAAGGAATGGAACCACCAACAAGTTGTGGGTAACTATGCATATTCATCATTTTCTCCCAGTAATTCCAACAAACACTTGGTGTGTGGGTTTGTTTGTGATGTGTGTGTGAGTGAGTGGGTGTGGGTGCGTGTGTGCTGGGTCTGTGTTGGGTGTGTGTGTGATGGGTTTGTTTGTGTGTGTGTGTGCGATTTGTGTGTGGGTGCTGAGGTTGCTCTACATCCCAATATGGTTCATACTCAAGCTGCCATCAGGATGGGTGTGTGTGTATGTGTGTGAGAGAGAGAGAGATGAATGTTACTGTTTTTTTGTCACCGTGTTCCATTCAAGTATGGTAACTGCTTTATAAACCAATTTAGAACCTACTTTTAGAGTTAAATCAATGCATTAATAGAAGAATAAAGAAAAGGACTTAACTGCTTAACAAATTATCAGGTGTGGGACTTAATACTAAATATGTTTGAAATTTATACATTAAGCCTTAAAAGTCTCCTATACAGGATTGACCCCCATTTCTCTTTTATATAAATCTGTGGGCTAAGTTGATGGGAAAAGGAACCACAGGCCACATTCGTGCACTTTTTCTACCGCCGCCTCAACCATTCATCACTTACTGCCTGCTACCATCACAACTATCGACCACCACACACCATCGCTGCCTACCATCACTACAACTCGTCGCCACCACCCATTGCCATCACTCATTACCATCATTGCCCACCGCCACCACCTACAACCATCAAAACAATAATAGTTGCACAATAATGGATAGGAAACTAAAAAACAAACAAATCGTCTATGCAACATATGGAAGTTACTGCAAGTTTTGTTGTCCCATTTTAACCATATTTTCTAGGTTTTCAATGTTGGGTAATCGATCACGACTTTGACATATGATCACCATAATTTCTATTAAACATCTCTAAATTAGCAAACTTGCTTTAAAAATCATAAAGAATTGAAGGAAAGTTAGGCTTTTTAATTATTTCTCTATAGAAGGATGTCAAAGGCCTTTTGTAGTGATTAAATTTAATAAAATAAATAGGAAAAAATGCAAATGCAATAGTGAAAGCCAGGAGTCCTATTCTATTTCTTAGCCTTTGTAGCCAAATTATGATGCACTTATTATAATACTAATTTTTTTTTTTTTTTTGCAATCAGATAGTACTAAAAATGTTTGGTATGGATTGATTATCATAAATAAAATATTAGATAAATTAGAAAATATCAATTTTATGTATCGTGTTAATACTCGTCTGAGTACTCTCACCATCATCCAAAAAGACAACTACAATTTCTAATGGTCATAACTTTCACGCATAAATCAAGTGGCTACTTAAGTCTTTCATGGCCGCACTCCATCTTTCTTTCTTACGAGCCCATTTCTCTTTTGATTCGAAAGACGGGCGTTGCGTTCAGTTCAAAAGGCATGGTTTTTCACTATGTCTCCAGTAAATTGGCAAGAAAGAAAAAAAAAATCTTTTTCAACTCCTACCCTTCTTGTTGGCCCCTTCTAAAATCAAATATGCATATTTTGTTGCCTCACTGACAATAGTCAATAGATGAAAACTCACTACAATCTAGAGTTCATATAACTTGACAAGAAAACATAATAGAATTCATTCTAATCGAAATACAATAAAGAGAGATAAAAAATTTATGTCTTCAAAATATACAACTCTTGTGATGAAATAGGGATATACCTTCAGATTCTTTAAAATAGAGAGAGAATAACTTCGAAAAGAGAAAATATGAACATGTCAAAGATAACCAGGATGGGTTTGTAGCTATCTCTTTCCTCTCTAAAAAACATTGAAAATGATCTCCAACAAGTAGCATAATGCAAATTAATCTAATAGACTAATCCTTTTGATTTGAACATGGACAATCATTTTGATCTAAGTCAGTTACTGTAACTATAAGGTCATAAATTAAATATGTTGCTACAGTAGTTGTAAGGTCTATAACTAAAATGAGATGCATAATTATAGATTAGGAAAATTAATTTGGGTGGTATAGATAGATGTGGATATAGATACAGATCTAAGAAGAGTACAAGAATATGCGTATCTATAATTATACTATTTTAAAAAGTCACGTGAAAAACATTTTTTTTTTAATTTTATCCACAAACATGACAATTATGTCCTCATGTCCTCTGCACTTAATTGCTTCCCAGTTAACGTCTCCCTCTATTCCCACCTTCTCTCCCTCTTCTCTCTTTTTCTCTCCCTACTTCCTCACTCAAATTCACAGACCTAGAGGCTCTACTTCTCTCAGGCGTTACAACCTTTTCCTCTCTCCGACTTTCTCTCCCTCCTCTCTCTCTCTTTCTTGCAAATTCACAGCCCTTGTCTTCATCTTCCACAGACCTAGGCGTTACAGTCTCTTCCTCTCCCTCTTCTCTCTCTCTGTCTTGCAAATTCACAGCCCTACTCTTCACCATCCCCTTCTCAGTCTCGCTTTCCACAATTTTATTTAATTACGTGTATTAAATTACAAGATCAATTAGACTTCAATTAGGCATCCAACAATTATTTTGTTTAATTAAAAAAACCGCTGATTTTCTTCAAAATTCTATTACAATCGTATTTTCTGTCCTAAAATTCTTTGAAATCCCATCGTCCTTAGCCCCTCTCTGTCAGACGCCGGATGGTTGTTGTGTTTTGGCATCATCAAGCTTTCCACCGCTAGAGGAGCTCCAACCTCTCCCTCTGACCAGGTAACTGTGATGTGTGTTCCAATTATTAGTTCAGAATTTTTGTTTTTGTTTTGGTTTGAATAATTACTGAATTAGATTTCATTTATGCTGGTGTTTTCTTCTTTGTGGTTTCATTTTTTATTCAATTTATTATTATATAATGTTTAAACGTCAAGTTGAATCTTATGAGAGTTATAACTTAAAAAATTGTAATCGATCATAACATTTTATGATCAATCACGAATAATTATCGGTTTTTTTTTTACAAAGTGTAACATAATCTTTAATGATAATACCTCTAATAATATTGTTGATAGTGTGGCTCGAGTTTTAATTAGGTTCATTCATCCTCTGTTTCATTGCAATGAGAGTGGGGGAAAAGAATGGAAAGTGGAATTTTTGAATCTCGTATGTTTTAATGAAGGATCTCATTATGAAGCCTATTCTGTTTTAGAGGAATTCAGGTTGACTGAATACAATCTACACACACATAAGAATTAGATTGTGCCATTTCCAAAAGAATCAGGTTGTGGGGACTGTGGGAAGAGGTATTCAGAAGCTTTGCCTTCTCATTTGCTTAATTCTGTAACATTTGAGATATTAAATTGAGAGAAAAAAGTTCTCTCCCGTCCAATCCCTCACGGTACTCATGTAACCATTCTTGATTGATTTTTACCCAGAAACCAATTCTAATCTCTTCCCCACTTATTTTCTCCCTATAATTACCCCATATCAAGAGTTATCTAGCCCACTAACTTGTAATTTCCTACATTCTTATATTATGATCATTTGAGTGCATGTTTTATTCTTCTCAATTTCCAGAGAATCAGATTATTGAAGTAAATTATGTTCTTACCCATGAATTAATCTTGTCAAGTAATGTGTCGTGTTCGAATTAACCTACATAACCCATGAATTAAAAACATTTTTTGGGCATGCTAAAAATTTTTAGATTTTGTCACACATCTATATAGAGATTTTGAATTCCTAACTTATAAAACTATTCGAGCGACATCTCTCGCTGCTCCCTTGCTTTTTCTTTCTTTCTTTCTTTCCTTCACTCCTCACTCACAGGCAACCCATCTCGAAGGTTCGTAATTGGTAAAGTTAAAAGGTATGCTTTGCTTTTGTCTTACATGGAATGGTTTTGTTTTGATCCTTTGTACACATGTTTGATGTTGGACCAGTAGAACGTGTGTTGTTCTTGAGTGAAATTTCATTCAATTAATTCATATCCCCTATTGAAATTTCATTCAATTAATTCATATCTCTAATCTCTAATTTGTGGTGAATCTGTGTATAAATGGATATCAAATGAATATATCAGCGTAAATTTTGATACTTTGATGTAGTAGAATCCTTAAAGATGTTTAGATTAGTCAATACCTGATGAATCTTTTTCTTACTGTGTGTTTTTCATGACACTTACATGCTTTCATGGTGTACCTATGCATACGTGTGTGTGCGCGTGAAAGGGAGATAATTTAATCATTTAGCTGTCTTTTTCTTCATTCTACTAAGTATCATTCTACTGCAACAATGGGAAACATGGATCATTCCATAGAATAGGTAAATGTATAGAACATTCATACTTGTTTCTGAAAACAGTGTAGTTAGCTTGAAGAAATAGCAGTACAATCAAGATCAGGAAGGCATTGGAACAAATTGATAAGAATGACAATCCTGCCTGCTCAAATAGGAACCATGCAACAATAGCAACAACAATGACTCCGTATGAAACACGCCACTGCCTCCATAATATAACATCAGCAGCTAGGAACAAAAGAATGAATGATAAGTACGGTTAAAATCACAAAATAGCTAACAGAAACACGCAAGACAAATAGTTCTTTCCAATCACAGATATTCCAATTAATGAGCAAAAGCAAATGGAAGAAGAGGGGATGCGGAGACGGCCAAGAACTCCTTAGAGCATGAACTGTAAGCGATTTGAGTTAATATTTTTTCCACTGAAGTTCACACATTTCAGCTACTTCTGATTTTTTATTTCCTTTAACAGATATATCTATTTGTATATTGTCCTCCACTTATATATTCTTTTTTGTTTAAACCTTAACAGTATGGTTATCATCAAGATCATTTATTATCATGCCCATTTGTTCGCTGAATTTTAAGAAATTCAATTATGAGACAGCATCTTTTATTGGCTGCGGAACACAAGAGAAATACTTCTTGAATAAACCTTCCCTCCAA